GGACTTAGCATGACTCAGGTATCAGTCATGAGGACATCATGTGACAGGTCAGGAGGCAGGACATGAGTCAGCAGACTCTGACCAAGCAGGGACAAATAGGTACCTGGTCTGTGCACCATTGCATTTGTATAAATAGTAGGGAGTCTGAGGCAGGGAACCTCAGACTTGATCTTCTCGTCGATCACCCATCTCTTCTGTAGGTAGCTAGCAGCCCTACCTCTCACTGCCCCTTCTAGTCTAGGGAATCTACATCTTTGCATCATCTCTTGCTGTGTCACTTGTGGTTGCTTCGCTCTCAGCACCAACCCCTTCACCAGTAAGCTTTGTCTTTGTTTATCTGGTGGCACAGCTCGTTGGCTGTGACAGAGGGCCGGGACTAGGAACGCAGTCGTCAGGGGGCTGAATGGGGGATGGTAGTGTACAGGTGGACGACAGGGGAACGGGAAGGTAAATATAGGTCGCCGGGAACAGGAAGGGGGGTGGAGTGTACACGAGGGCGACAAGAAGGAGTAGTCCAATAGAAAAGATAGGGGGTGAGGCATACCAACGGTAACATTACCCCCATTTCTAAGCACGATCGTCCCGATCGTTCAACTCCAAGTCTGGCTCCGTGAGCGGTGACGAGGGCGCTGGCGGGTACCAGAGGCCAATGTTCAAGCCAGGATCAATGAGGTTGAAGTAGGCCCCGGAGAGGAAGGTGATGGAGCGGGACGGCGATGGTGCGATGGTTGGGAAGGCAGCGGGGGGCGATGGGGAACGGGATGAAGGGTTAGCGGGGGCGGGGCGCCTGGGACGGAAAGGGGTGGGGATGGCGTCAGCGGGGAGGTCGTGGACGACAGCGGGTGGGGATACGGGGGAGGGGCTGCGCGAATGGAGGACCTCCTCGATGGGTGCGGCAGGTATGGCAGGGGTGGGTGGAGCATCAGGAAAAAATCGGTTTGCGACAGAGGTCTCTGTAGCCTACATAGCGACCGTCGTCGTGTAGGATACCCCCGAGGTACATAGCCTCCATAGCGCCCGCAGGTGCCGAAGTAGGTCAATGTAGCGCCCTCAGTCCGGTACATACCGCACTGTAGTTCTATGTGGCCTCTCCATTGTTACATGTAGCTGTGATATGCACATGGTAGTAGCAGCGATAGAGCCAATGATGTACTGTATTGCTAACTAAATATACGAACATTTGAACTTGCACTATACTAGTATACCCTGCACGCCCAACTACCCCTGCTGTCTCTCGCTAGGGATGCCGCCCTGACGCTCACGACGCTGACGTTCGAGCTCCAGCCGGAGACGATCGCGTGATGATGAGGAGAGACCGACGACCACAGGGGCAACAAGTGGTGCGGCACCCGAAGCTCGCCTATTAGAGGATATAGAAGAAACTTGTAGTTAGCCAGACATTTGAGAACAATGACGTCCCAGTACATACCTTGCACGGTCATGCAACTCTTGCATAGTTGCCAAAGTGATTTCCTCGTCAATCTCGCGCCACTCCTGGATTGCACGGAGATGCTTGTCGTATTTTGGCTTGTAAAGCTTCTCAGTGAACTGGAGGCGTGAATTGAATATCCTGGTCTCCCACTGATCGAGGCAAAACTCGATCTGGGAATAGGGAAGATGACAAAAAAGGTTAGGAGAGGAAGTACAGGGAGCATTAAACTTGTACACACCGTCATAAAGAGGAGCGCCAGCGTCACATTGCGGATCGGGGAGAAGTAAGTACTATATCTGACGCCAAGCCCTGTGGCGTCGGAGAACCAGTTCTTCTGAATGGCCTTCTGGATGATGGGGTGTAAAGCGAAGCCGGAGGGAGCCATGGTGTCCTAGAATAGTATGAGAATTGATCAATACAACTTGAGCAGCATGTGGCTCTGGTGACGTCGGAGACTTACCTGATAATGGAAGACAGGATGTGGCTCGTCGGCATTGAGGTCGAGAAGTTGCGTATAGGTAGCAATGTTTGCGATTCGGACATTCTCTGCACCATCAGTTAGCATACCATACGTACTCTCTATCCAGGGGCGGATGAGGTCCCGAAGGGCGCTGCAAGCATGTGAGTTCCGTTCAACAATCTGGGCAAAATAACAATTAGCAGACTCAACTCAAAGCATCGAAAACTCGAACATGAGACTCACAATCTGCTCCACATGGTCTGTCAACCGGTAATAGACCTGCACTTCTTCGCAGATCGACAACCATGCCTTATCTGCCCACATCACCTGCTTGTCGTCATCGGGAAAGGGGTCCTCTGTACAGACCAGCACGCTATAGAAACGGCATGCGCGCACGATCATCCTGCAGGTGTGTGTCTCGTAATCTGATGCTTTGGGCTTGCCTTTGGGCACCTTGTCGTCCTTGAATGGTGGCCGCTGAAGGTCCCGTGACCTAATATCCTTCACTATGAGCTGACGGTGTGTTGTTTGTCCGTCAGCAAATCTGAATGATATAGCAGTATAGATATGGTACTCACAGATGATGTAGCGGACCTTGTCCCCTCCGGATGCCACGTCTGTGCTGACCCTGGTGGCTGTCGAGACCGGGGTGCGGCTTCGGAGCGCTAGTAGTGTAGTAATTGTTGTCCACTGAACCACGGGATAGGAACTGGGGACACACATACCATAGCGCTGCTTGTAGTTGCATCAGCGGCAACCGCACAATTGACAGGCGAGCGAGTGCGGTAGCGAGCATGGGTTGGGTTCACTGATGGTGATGGTGGGGGTGACGGAACATATTGTTGCGTGGTGGGTTCAGGAGATGGGGATCTTGGGGGTGTGCTATGCTCAAGGGAAGAAAAGGAAGGGAGAGAGCGAGAAGAAGACTGAGATCGTTCTGTGCTAGAGGTAGCAGAATACAAGCGGCTACGTATGTCTGGCGATGTTGGGGACCTCAACCGGCCCCGGTCCTCTGACTGACGATCAGTTGAAGCATCCTGTTTGGTCGCATAATAAGCATGACTGTATGAGGGATGATGTGAGCTTCATACATACATTGGTGGGCTGGGGCAAGGGTGAGCGGGAGGAGGCAGTCGGCGGCTGGTGGCTTCGCCGTTGGTCAACCCGGCGCAATTTTTTCTTGGGTTTGTCGGAATCAGCCTGGAAAACACCTTGTGACTCGAACTAGAGCATTGTGAGTATAGCGGAGAGACGTATAAATAAAGCAAACTCACCGCAGATTTGTGGTGATGTTCTGCGGCTTGGAATTCTTGTTCTTCTTCGCTTTCATACTCCTCATCGTCGTCTAAAGCTGAAGTTAGCATGGGAGGTATCTTGATACACAAACATCAAAGAGGAGCAAGCACTAGAGCGCGACAACAAGGTTGTTGCATTGAACAGTTGACTCCTCAACTATCGATACCGGGTACAACATCGATGCCGTGAACGAATACATCGTCAAGCACATTCTGATGTCGCTTCGTGTTATGATGCAGAAAGGACTCACCTTCCTTCTGTTCATCGATGACCAACTTTCGCTTGAGACGTGCCTTATCTTTGCGAAGGCGTTCGACTTCCTTTCTCAGCTCTTCGACCTGCTGTCGTTCTGGAATGTGTTGATCGATTTTTCAGAGGTATGTAGAGGGAGACAAGCTGGAGAACTCACCAATCTCTGCCTGTTTGTGGCTAGGATGTCGCTGCCGAGTGCTGGATGGACATGTTGCTGTGGCAGAGCTCGCACCAGCTGCATGACAAGTGGTGCCTGGTGGAGGAGGTTGCGTATCAGCTTCGTGTCCATGTTCCTCTGAGGAGTGTACCCTTCGGGCTAAGCGCGTTGAGGGACCCATGACTACAGAGGAAAATAGCGAGAACGACGGATGGAGGTAGACCGAAAGATAACAACCGGAAGCGACCGGGATGCGGCTGACCTTGATTGGGACATAGACCCCAGTCTGATTGGTTGTCAGCCCATGCTCTCCTAAGGCACTTGTTCGAACACACCTCCTAAGTACCTCGATATTCATCAGTTGTACAATCGCATTGTCTTCCATCTCCATACTTTCACTCTGCTATGGCGCTCTACTCCTGTCCCCACTGCACCAAGGCCGAGCTAACCAGCCGTAAAAGCCTCCGCCTCCACATAAAAAACAAGCCTAGCTGCCGCCGTGCAGCCAAAGCCGCCAGGAACGTTCACCGGGTCAGAGCCCATGCAGCAGCTGCACAACATGTTGTAACGCCCCCCCCTGAACCCGGTTCTCCTATGGAGGAGGACGAGGGACTCCCTCCCATCGAGGACGACACTCACCTTTCACTCCCTTTCATTGATCCCCCTCGCCACTCCTGTACCCTCAACGACTCGGAGGCGAACACCGGCGCAGACAACAGTATGAATGCTTCAACTCAGCCCCGGGCACGTCACCATGTAACCGTCGAGGACGTACCCGATGAAGACTTGGACGCAGGTGGGCTTCCTCGCTGCCCGTGGGTTGAGGACTACCCCGGACCTGCTGGCACACCGCTTGGGGGGGCAAAGACGCTTTTTGAAGAATATCGAGATGTTCACAAGGAGGCTGGTAAGGGAAGGTGGGCGCCCTTCGAGAGCGAGGAAGAATGGGAACTTGCCCAATGGTTGCTCACGTCAGGGCTAAGTCAGCAGGCAATCGACAAGTATCTGAAGCTCGATATTGTAAGTTCCCCATTGAAAGCATCATTTATAGATCATAACTGACCTATGTCAATGCATAAAGACCCGTAATCGAACTCAGCCGTCGTACAAGAGCAAGTATCATCTACTCAACAAGATTGACGACCTACCGAGAGGTCATGCCAACTGGTCAGTAGAGGTTTTCGAGGCGCAAGGGGACGAGGTCGACGAGGAAGGGAAGCCGAAGAAGGAGATCGTTGAGCTGTGGAAACACGATGTTGTTGACTGCGTGCGTGAGCTAATCGGCAACCCACTATTCCGAGACGCCCTCCGATATGCTCCCGAACATGAGTATGCCGATGATGAGGGTCACACGCGCATATATAGCAACATGTGGGGCGGAAATTGGTGGTGGGGAGTCCAAGTAAATCAGTTCCGGGCAAAGGTGTAAAGAGTGATGATGAGCTTACCATCTGTATGAATCAGACCAAACTTCCACCCAACGCCACAGTTGCGCCGTTAATCCTTGCTTCAGACAAGACAACACTGTCTCGTATGAGCGGGGACAAGACAGCATGGCCTGTGTATCTTACCCTGGGCAATATCGACAAGAACATCCGGCGTCGGCCGTCATCCCATACCACCATACTCCTCGGATACCTGCCCGCCATGAAGCTCGAGTGTTTCTCTGAGAAACGCCGGTCCCTCGAAGGATACCGGCTCTTTCACAAGTGCATGCGATCCCTTCTTGAGCCACTCGTTGTTGCCGGCCGGGATGGCGTCTTGATGACCTGTGCAGACGGACGTCAGCGTCGTGTCTATCCTATCCTTGCTGCCTATGTTGCCGACCACCCGGAGCAGTGTCTCATCTCCGGGTGCACCGAATCCTCCTGCCCAAAGTGTACCGTCGAACCGAAGGGGCGGGGTGAACCAAGCTATCGCCCATACAAGAACCCTGACGATGTTGTCGCGATCCTCAAGCAGGCCGCTATGGGGCAGGTCAAGGCTAGTGAGCTCGACTCCAGAGGGTTGCGCACAATCGAACCATTTTGGGACAGCCTACCTCACTGTGATATCTTCACTGCGCTCACTCCCGATATATTCCATCAGTTGCACAAAGGACTGTTCAAAGATCACCTGGTTAGCTGGGTCACGAAGTCCATCGACGACGGCACAGAAGAGATCGATCACCGGTACATGACCATGGCAAAGCACCCTGAGCTGCGACACTTCAAGAAGGGAATATCGCTCGTTTGTCAGTGGACGGGGACGGAGTACAAGAATATGGAGAAGGTCTTCTTGGGCGTCATCGCTGGCGCGGCAGACGAGCGTGTTACACTTACAGTACGGGCGGTTCTCGACTTCATTTACTATGCCCACTTTGAGACGCACACTGTCACGGACGCTGGACAGACGCCCCTTTTTGCCGCCCATTCCCCTCCCCTTGACGCCCACCTTCCATTTTTGGACCATTTCCTTTCCTAGCCCATCCCAGTTTGGACACTGTAGATACGTTCCCACTGCCACATGCTCCGTTCCCGTGATCACCATGCTCTTGCCTTTTCTTTCTCGCCCTTTGTTCTTCCTTTGTCATCTTCACTGCCTCGCTCTCGCGCTTTGTCTTTGGTTGCTAAGCAGCCCCTCAAGTATATAAGGACCCCCTTAGGCGCTCCCTAGTCCCCATCTCGACCTCTTGGTCATTGGGACTAGGTGAGTGACCATAGCGTTGTATCTCCCTTCGATTGCTAATGTATAACTTGGTCATTGGGACTAGTCTGTCGCTGGTTGCGTGAAGACTAGCTTTCGTCAGTCTTGCGCCTTCGTGCCGACCGCCGCTCTGCCCCGTCAAGTTTTC